GGTCTCTCTTGTAAATGAGTCCTCGAGGCTCAATGGGATTTACCTGTCTAAATAAAGGTTGAATGAAAAAGTAACTTTAAAAAATGGAAGACAATAAAAGGATAGCTTAGATCGTTTAAAGTAGGATTCTGGACAGGATTGCAGCAATTATTATATGTTACTGGTTGTAAATAACTCTTTTTGAATGACCCAGTGAACTTTTTTTTTTTGCCCCACAAAGTAGTTATTCCTAACAAATAATGTAAATATTACTGTGTATTATGTTCTGTATTATTTTGACAATTTAAATGATTTTAAGGGATTCAATCGTTGTTGTTTTTTTTCATATTTACTGTTATGGGGCGGTACCACTCACTGCACCACATTTGTCGTGGAGCCGTACTTGCCACCAGTGATCTGAACAGGCAGAACCAATAGTTTAATTTGGGGCGTCAAATTTCTGCCCTGTGGACACGTTCAGCTGGTTTTAGCATTAAATTGACTTATGTTAACTCTAGAGCTTACTCAAAGCTGTAGTGAAAGCTGCCGAGTACAACAGTGGAGATATTCTATATAAAGCCATTTGAATCAGACAAAGGGAATCCATAGAGGAGGACAGAGGAAGAACAAAAATAAAAAGGGATTTTTGCAACCATGGTAGAATCTTATTTAACCAGTTCTGTGGGGGAAACACATTTTATGGCCATGGTCTAAGTTAAGTCCGTTAGCTTAGCAATCATAAGTCTGTGGGTTTGATCCCTGCATATACAGTAGTTACTAACTGGTTATGACAAATTCTTTCAAAATGTTTTCACTTTTTTTATTTTTAGTTACTTTTTTCTACAAGTTTACTGTGTTAATCTAGAGTATTAGTTCAGAATTAATACTTCAAATCAAATTAGAAATCCAGTACAGAAAGCTGAGAGTGGGAGGCACTGTTTTCTCAGATTTATTAAACCGGACTGTTTTTCATATAAAACATCGATACTGGACAAGACACTAAGACATTAAAATAACAGTAGGCTACAGAAATCATCACTGTTTGTTGAGAAGCCTGATCGCTACAGAGATAAATGAGTTTTTCAGTCTGTTATCTGGGCAGCAGATACCTGCATCCAGATGGAAGCAACCTGAACTCACCACGGAGTGGATGATCAGGATCTGCCAGAATCAACCTTGTTCACGTTATTTTTTTCACAGAATGTAACACAATTTGTAAAACTTGTGTGGTTATTGATTCAGGAAATGAATGTCCGCCTCCTTAATATTTTAGCTCATGAGCCGCCACTGGAATTACTTAATTTTGAACAGTTGGACCAGACTGATGAGCAAATGGCTAGTCCAAACTGGGTCTAAAACCATTGTAGATTGCCGCTGCTGTCTTACTCCAGTTTCTGAAATGTAACCGCAATCTCCGCAAAGGTTAATTTATAAACCCTACATAACTTTCACTTTCAAAATACATGATTATTTACATGATATGTAATAACCATTTAATGTTTATTGAAAAAAATCATAACCTACCCTAATTTTTTTGATAATACAGGTTTTTTTTTAATGGCAGCAACCAATTTTGGTTACAACAAGCTCAGACTAGCCATTCGTCAACGTAAAGTCTATTTGTTTCAACGGAGGTCTTTCAAAGAGCTATCTACAACAGGTAAGATATCAACTGTTCATAAGTTTCAAAAGATCTGAACCGTCTCTTTAATACTTAAGTGTGAGAGTTTAGATACATAAACGGCATTTAGATATATACATATGTTCAATTAGTCTTCCCTTTGCACTCTCTAATTTATACAAATCTTTATAAAATGGCTGACTTGTAAAAAGGCTGATTGGAGCTCTTTGAGTCCCAGCATGTTGGTGGTCTCCCCCATCATCCGGGGTCCCATCAGCTCTATGAAGTCCTCAAAGTCCATCAATCCACCCACTATGGAGAAAAAAAAAGGCTCGGTAGCAAAAATAAAAAAGGCAAATGAGCAAAAATTGTTCCTGTTGAAATTTAAATGTGGATCCATCTCTTGATTATAAGTAAACAAGAAATTTAATTAAATCAAATGATCAAGAATTTGCTCAAAGTTAAACTGGTACAAGGAATTTTATCTAGTCAAGCTAAAAGTATAATCAAAATTTAAACCTCACAATATATTTGCAGAGTTTCCTTTTCAATATGTTGTGTATCAATTTAGAGACTCTTTAAATATTTGGTTAAACATAAAGCGGGCAGGTTTCGTAAAAGCCAAGGCAACAAAACCTCTCTTACTTCCCGCCAATACAAAAAAAGGAAGTCTAGTTTGCTCTGATTGGTCGGCTAAAATGGCCTGATCAGGCTCAGCCCACAGTTTCAATCAAACTTTAATAAAAGTACTGTACTGTATAAGTGTTTTATTTGTTGTAAAAAACAAAAAAAATGGGTGTCTAATGTAAAATTAGATTACCGTATTTTTTGCCGTATAAGTCACATCTTATGCGTAAATTTGCAAGTCCTGCGACTTGGACACCGAAGTGACTACTAAACGTTTTTTCCTCCATATTTAAAGCCCAATTTTAACTGAGATCTGACGATTTCATTCATTCTGACATGAAAAATATTGAACACTACCATTTGCAGCCACTAGAGGGCGTTTGAGTAATATGGCAAGCCAAGTGTCTCACTCATAAGTAAAAGTGGGTATTAATGAGACACTTGGCTTGCCATACAAAGCCACCTTCGTCTCGCTCCGGAACTCCTGGAGCTGCATTTCGCCGCACCGCCCAGGCGTCAAAATCCTTTTTATTAAGGAAAAGTTCAACTGAGACACACCTACGCTATAATTTCGAGCAAACAAATAATTGTTTTTAAGTGTTTAACTTGTTAAATTCTTGTTAAAGGTCTTACTGTGCACGCTCCCTCTGCCAATTGGCAGCCAGTTGATTTTTGGCACAACGCCGGCCCACGTTTCCGCGTTGTCAGCGGTGACGTGTAATAGATGCGACTTATCTGACGAAGCGACTTGTTTATGCTTTTTTCCCAATTTATTAGACATTTTTGGACTGATGCGACTTGTACGGCGAAAAGTACGGTAAAAGACCTTTAAAAAAAATCCAGGAAAAAATTATTTGAAAAATATGAATCTCAGTTTAAGTATTTTAAAACTTATATTGTAGCTTCTTTGTTATATAAAGCTGTAGTGAAGCTCCGAGTGAAAACATTTAAACCTTAGATTTTACATGGGACTCACTTCTCATCTTGATCTGTTGGACGATCTCCAGCAGCTCCATCTCGGTGGGCATGTATCCCATGGTTCTCATGCATTCAGCCACATCTTTGTAGTTCAGGTAGCCGTCCTGGTCGTAGTCAAACTCTTTAAAGGCTTCCTGCAGCTCTGTGGAGTTTCCAAAAGAGTTTACAGCTCCTGGCATGGGAAGTCTTGTTACCACAGCTACAATTGCTATCCTGAATATGGTGTTGGAACTTACAAATTAAGTGGGGTGGTTTAACCTTTTATTTTTTGTTCGTTTTTTTGTATTACAGATGCGTGAGATCAGTTTTCAACTACTTTCAACAGTTATTGAGTTATAGGCGCATGAACAGAAGAGAAAACAAAGTTTATGTTCTTATTTCAAACTATATTCCAGCCTTGGACACATGGACTTTGGACGCTCTATCACACGTTACACACACTGATACACATTATAGATGTTGAGCTAAGAAAACGAGACTCACCGTCAATTTCAGCCTGAGCCAATTCTCTTTCCTGAGGAAACAGAAATCAAACACATTTTATTTAAACATAAAACATCCATCCATTATCTTTTATCCGCTTCTTCCATTTTGGGTCAAGGGGGACGCCGGTGCCCATGTCCAGCAATCACTGTGCGATGGGCGAGGGACACCCTGGACAAGTCGCAAGTCCAAACATACAAGATGAATAATCAATTCAATAATACTTTATTAATCTCAAAGGGAAATTAAATGTTGTAAGTCGTTATCCTCGTTTTCATTAAGAGATGTTATAGACACTGATGTCTGTAGGCAGCAAGAATCTCTTGTAAAGGTCCATCCCACAGCAAATCCAAAGAAATTGGCTGCAGATGCCGTCCGATCCGTCCACCCACACTCGGCTGGCCTCTCGGTCCCCTTGGGCTGCAGGACCGGCCGAATGCCTGGCTGAACTCCTCCCAGCAGCCTGCCGAGCTCCACGTCACTGCGGACAGCCAGCTGCAGGTTTCGGGGGATGATCCCATCCTTCTGCTGTCACGAGCCGCTTTTCCTGCCATTTCCAGGATCTCAGTTGTCAAGCACTCAAGCACAGCCGGCAAGGAGACGGGAATGCATCTACGGTGCCTCCTTTTCAACTCGTTTGAGATTTGGGGGGCTGTAGTTGAGGTATTGTTTGAGCTTTGAGATGTTAATCAGCTGTTCCCGGTTATTAAAAAAAAAACACCTTGTTGTTATGGTTACGCATTATAACAAATGTCCAAAAGTAAAAAAAGTTTTAGTAAAAATCCTTCCAACTGCACAGCATCCGATACTAGAGGAAATGATCGTCCGAAAAATCTGACACAACCAACAAAAGAGGAATTAAAGTTTCCATAAGCAACTTCTCAGAATGTTCTTAGCACCAACATAACTGGTTTGTTCCACTTTGGAGTAAGCTGTTTCGTGGAAAAATCAGTTTTGTGTTGTGTTTTTCCTTGACTGATGAAGGCTTCTGGATGAAAGGTGAAACATTTCAGAAAAAAAAAAAAAAAGAGAAACTGTCCAGATGACCTGACTGAAAATTGTTGGATCTTTAACTTCATGTTTTTAATCAAACTTCATCAACTTTGCTTATTTTATTCACACGTTTGCAAAAAAATATGAACTGGAAACTGCTAAAACCAGCACTTCTCTGCTGTGAAAAATCACAAAGTCCATTGTATTTTTGGTCAAAGCTACAAAGAGCCATCTGCAAAGGGACCAAAGTGCCACATGTGGCCCCAAAAATATTAGTTAAAATGGGTTTAAAGAGGCCACTGTTTGAGATATTACCATAAAGTACAACTGTAATTTGGGACGTTTATTTGTAGCAATATTATAGAACCAAACTCAGCCCCAGAGCCACAGGTTGCAAACGTCTGCACCTCGTCATAAAGATCAGACTTTTATGTTTTGTCCTCTGCATGCATAATGCATAATTAGGTGATCTTCAGCTTTTCACGTGGATAACCATAACAAACTGTGACATTAAGCTTCAGCTGAGCCACTAATGTAGCAGAACCGGGCTTAAAGCCAGCAGCTCCAGGCCTGCCACCCCCCGCTGAGCTGAAAACTAGCATCCACGTTCAGTTTCTTCACAGCTTTATCGCATAAATGTACGTTTATTTTAAATATCAGGTGTGATTTGAGTAAAACGGGGAAAAAAATGACTGAAAAAAAACAAAAATTTGCGGAATATTAATTAAAAAAAATCAAGACAAATTTTCTTTTTGAGTGTGTCAGAGCTGGACGGCTGCAGTCGTCAAACCGGTGGGTGGGTGTCGGCTACTTACGGCTCCAAAGACACTTTGCAGCACCGAGGTGTAGACCTTGTTCATGCTCTCTGTGTTTTTCTTGGACTTCTTCGAGGATTTCTTTGGCGTTTCAGAAACGGAGCCTGACGGAGAGGTTGTCGCCGAGCCAGATTTATTGGCGCCATTTTTGCTAAAACGTGGAAAAACAGACCAGACAGTGAATAAAACCTTAAATATTTCTAATTAAATAAAAAGTAAGCTACAGGTATGTGGGTCAGAGTGAACCTGTCTGATGAGGTCGAGTCGGCAGACGTTGTCGAAGACGTCCTCTCTCCTGCTTTGGACATGCTGTGGACGGACAGAAGCTCAAAAAGTAAAAATAACTTTTAAACACTTACTGAAAATACTTCCTTACCTTGTTGACTTTCGATTTTAAATGGAGAAATCTCAATCAGGGGTTGAGCAGCTCAGTTCCTCTCCTTCATCCTGTGAATGGCTTTAAAGTTTCCTGGTTTACCTCCCGTCCTCAGAGAGGCTTATCAGGTAATTACCCGGCTAAACACGCAGCCGAACGACCAGAAAACAACGTGTGGCTGATGCGACCTTTGAGAGGTCAGATTTTACTGCTTCAAGACGCAGATTTTCAGACGAAGTACAAGTACTTCAGTTTGACTTGACAATAGTGAATACCAGTGTCAAGCTGTTAATTAGTTTATGTAATGACATTAAGACACATTTCTTTTAATTAGAACACAGCAGATGGTCTGCTGTCTTAGCAGCGCCTGTGTTTATCTTAAAATATTTCCAAACTATGAACTTTTTTTTTTATTTTTGTCCTCACTTGCTAAGTGGAAAAGGAAATGACGTTATTAAACATAAAGGTGGTTTGTTCTGAAATACTGAGTCCTTTTTTTTTTTTTTTGGGTGCAAGTGCAAGTATTTGAAGCTGAGATTAGGCCTGTGCCAATACTGGTATGGATATTGAGACAAATATTTGAAATCTTCCAACATCATCATCACCATTTAGCCGAAAACTGGGACACTGCTGCTAATATTTATAATTTAAACCTGGTTGTTGTGAACGTATTTCATTTTTTGACACCTCTTTAGAGTACTGTATAAAAATTCATGCTCAATAATCCAGGTAAAGAAAGCCAAAAAAGTTCAGTAAGTCCATCTGGATGGTTTCTTTTTTTTTTGTTGTTGAGACATTTCGTACTTCATCCAAAGGACTTCGTCAGTCCAAGGAGCCACAACAAACTCAGTACCACAAGCAGCAACACACTCCCAGAAGGACCTGGATTGTGACTTGGACCACACCCGGTGCCTATATAATAATAAGCCAGGCAACCAAGGCCGGATTAACCATGTGGGCAACTGGGCAAGTGCCCAGGGGCCCACAATCTCTGGGGCCCAGGGCAGTGAGAGCACAATCAAAATATCTGGTTATCTCCATGAGCCCTGCGCTGCACAGAGAGACCGCTGCATTTGGGCCGCCCCGCCTCCTCCCAGCGCGGCTGCTGTTGAGGTTTAATTTTAGTCCAGATGTTTTAGAGGAAAACTCTATTGTCTCAAGGATTATAGGGAGTTGGTCAGAGTTTTTTTTTTTTTTTACAAATATTGCAACATCATCAGCTAATTGGCTAATTGTTAATTGTTGACCCAACACTGTTAGTTTTTCAAAATTCAATTGTTTGATGAGGATAGACATCAGTTCAGCTGCCAAAATAAATAATAGGGGTGAAATTGGACGTCCTTGTTTAACACCTGGGAGATGTACCTCGTGGTAATAGAACTGAACTGTTTGTGTCCTTATAAATTAATTTAATCATATGTAAGAATTGTTTCCCGAATCCAAAAGGTTCTAAGGTTCGAAAGATAAATTTGTGCTCAGTCGTGTCAAAAGCTTTAAAAAAGTCCAAGGATAGAATAAATCCATCATCTTCTATTAGATGATTATAGTCCAGTAAATCCAGTATAAGTTAATGTTGTGAATGAGCGACCTTTGACGAATCCAGATTGTGTCTGAAATAATGTCCGTAATACCACATTTTAATGTATTTGCGAATATATGAGTGAGTATTTTGTAATCATTGTTTAATAGAGTTATGGGACGGAGGTTGTCAATTGTTTTTGGAAAACTGGGAGACAGTTTGTCACTTTTCACGTAACCAGTTTACGAGGACTTGAAACGGTCTTCAATTACCCGGGGAGCCTTTTTCTGTACAACATCGTCTTGTTGTTGCGCAGGCGCAATTTTATGTTTTTAATTTGA